GGAATTCCGGGAGTTGAAGTCCAGACGTATTTAAATTGCCCATCCTTCTGCACCGGATTTCCTTTTGTGACTTTGCCAGCGTAGACCGAAGCAAGGCGAAAATTAGCAAATTTAGCGTGCCGAAATCCACCCCTTCCTCTTCTTTTCCTCCTCCGTTTGCATTTCCTGGCTAGTCTCCAAGGGAGGACCTTTGCTAAGCCCTTGATTTCCCTGTTGGCCAGTATGCTATTCTAGATTCAGGTGCAGTTCTCTAATTTAAGGTCCCTGCATCAAGGGTATTTTGCTGCCAACACACAGTACTGGAAATAGCTTCTATGCAGCCCCCACCCCCAAATTAATTTGCTACGGGAACCCCTCAAAAAGCAGTGTTATTTCTGGAGTCCTTCGGGCTCCCTGAGCTCGGTGGTTTGCTTGTAGACGTTTCCTGACCTGAGTAGGGAACATCATCAACGCTGGGGAGGGTGGGTTTTGCTCCCTGTTTATATAGCTGCCCAGTGTCACCCTCTGGGGGAGATGGGTGGCATACAAATTTAATAAATAAATAAAAATAAATAAAATATGCAGTTGCTTGCCCTGCCAGTGTGAGTGGGGCAGAGTTTTCTCCTTGCTAGTCCCTTTATTAGGGTATTGTCTACAAAGGGGGAGCAAACCCCACCCTCCCCAGCCCTGATGATGTTCCCTAATTGGGTCACGAAATGTCTGCCAGCAAACCACCAAGCTCAGGGAGCCCCAAGGACTCCCCAGTTCAACCCTGAGCTACGTATATTCTCTTCTATTGGAACGGTATTATTTTCAGCGAGAACCTCTAAAAAAAAAAAAATTATCTGCTATGGGAGCCTCTTATAAAACAGAAATAAATACCTGTTTTCAGCCAACTTAAATTCCCATCAAAAAGCGCCGGTTCCTCCCTTGTTTTCCAAATACCGCCTTCTTTATCGCGTGTGCCTCATCTGTCCCAGGACCAGGAAGTTCCTTAAATCTCTCTGCCCCAAGCTCGGAGGGGTTTCCAATTCTCCCCCACCCCCCATATTACTGCCCCAATCCTCATCTCGGTCTCTTCATTTTCTAATACAAGCCCCTCCTCCCCTGCCCAGCCCAGTAATGAATGGAGGATGAGCCGATGATCTTGGACTGTGGGTGAAAGTCACGGGGGCCAGAAGGGCTGGATGGAAAAAACGCTGCGTGCCCAGAAAACAGAATGGGGTTTTCATTTTTATATACAAGACACATTTATCCATTAAATTTAGAACACAGTACAAAAAAAA